GGGCTCGGACCCCTACGTCCCCAGGGCTCGGACCCCTACGTCCCCAGGGCTCGGACCCCTACGTCCCCAGGGCTCGGACCCCTACGTCCCCAGGGCTCGGACCCCTACGTCCCCAGGGCTCGGACCACCCGTCCTCAGGAGCCGGCGGCGGGCCCTCCCGCTGCCCGTTCTCCCCCTCAAGAACACAGCGCCACCAAGAGAAAATGGCCCCTTGGCTGGGTCAGCAGTTTGTGTCATAGTTCATCTCTTGGTGAACTGAAAATTAACTTAATATTATCCTTAAGTTTGACGATAAGCGTTTGTGGGGAAACTCCCGAGAAGCTCTAAAGTGACACAAAAGTTTTTTAAAATCCTGCCCCCCCCGGGTCTTTGTAGCTTTCATGTCTGCTTGATCATAATGGTGATTTATTTTTCATATATCAATACTGTTTGAGGTTTGCTTGACATTCTCAGTGGTCCTTCTTTCATAACCAGTACGTGTTCACATGTGAGCTCAAGACAGCGCTCAAGCCCATTGCAGTCTCCTATCAGGAATAAATCAATGGTTCTCCGTAATTTTGGCCATAAACGGGGAACCTTTAGCTGTGTGCCGTATGCTACACACATACAGTAGAGAAGATAATGCAGAGAGAAGCTATGTGATCGTCGGTTTTCATTTATTTACTGCCAATCTGTGAAGAAATAATTGAGTAATAGAATAATTCCCCAATCATGAATCATTGCTTAGTTTGGTTTTGTAGATAAGAGGAGGAATATTGAAGGGGATGTATTTTAGCAGATGCCTGTAACTTGCCCATTGAAATAGTGCCTATGCTGTCTTCATTGCACTTTTTTTTGTAAGACTGAAGCAAAACAAAATGGAGTTTGACACATTTTTTAGCTCAAATTGCATTAATCTCAGAAAATATATCAGCTGTTATTGAAGAAAATAGTACTATAACTGAATGGATAAGGATGAAGAAGTGGACTTGCTTGCCAGTCTGTCTGGTGGTCAGTTTATAGGTAGTGTTGCTCTGGTATTTGCTTGCATCACCATGATGTCATTGACTAATTGGGAAAAGCTTGGTTGCCTGTTCTTCTGTATCTCCTGTGAAAAGGTGTAACAGGTGTGAAGCTCAGCTTGGATAGAGAGCAGGCAGGCTGCTGTTTGGGAAGGGAGATTGCAAGTTGTAACACTACTGGTGTTATTCTTAGACTTACCCAGTCTAAAAAACCTTGTGTAAATAACTTTTCCAGTTTTTATTTTGCTTGAGTAGACATTGTTAAAAAACCCAGAGATTTAGGTGGGGTTTTTTTTCCTCCTGTTGTTCGCAGGTATCAGTGATTGAAAAAAGAAATGAGATTTTTTCACAGGATGGGTAATGTGCACTGTGGACAGATCTCTGTACATTTAGATCTAGTTTTTTTGGCTGAGAGCATTGTGGAGTGTATCCTCTTATGTAGAGGACAGGTGCAGAATGCTCAAGGTTGCTGCTTTTGGACTTGGCTGCTTTATGCTGAGATTAGCGTCCTACTCTTAGAAATAACCTCCATGTTCTATTTCCAAGAGTTCTGATTGACATTTGTGGCACTGTGTGTATAGTTTTGCATATGGGTGTGTAGAATGAGGAATTTTGAAGGACCAGTTTTATCATATCAGCTTCTCAGTTGGTATCTTCTTCTGACTAAATAAAAGAGCTGGTGTGTAGGGGAAGATCTGTGTTAGTACAAGGGGCTGTCTCCACTTTAAAAGCACACATCTGAAAAATTCTGGGTTTTTAATCTCTATTTTAAGAGATGAAAAGTAATGGAGTCCTGCAACAGGTCATGCAAAGACTCTTCTTAAAGAAGAAGGTTTTTGTCTTTTCCCTCTGTGAGCTTTAACAGATCCCTGGTGCCATGAGGCTTTTCATGGGTGGAGTGATCCCAGCACTGTTGTGACCTAGACCCTAGCAAAGAAGTTGAACACAGTTCTAGGAATTTAATGTAGCTGATTTTGAATCTTTCTAAAATGCTCAATTTCTGTGAAACCAGGTGTATGGCTGATATTTATCTAAAAAAGTCTGTTATATATACTCAGACCTTTCTAAACAAGATGTTTTATACTTATATACTGCTCTAAGATGAATGTGTGATTCAAGGTTCAGGAAGTAGAATAACATGAGACAAATGAAATGGTTTGTACCTTGCTTTGGCTTTCACTCGGGTTCTTTGAGACAGAGGTTGGAGTTTAACCATGATTAAATGTTGTTAGGTAAATATGTTGCACAGGGGGTTAGGAAAGATAACTGAAAATAACTGTGTTTTCCGCTGTTGGAGCTGTTGTCTTTATTTGTTCTTTCTTTACTTTGTTGCCGTGTCTCAAGCTTTAAAGTGTATTTGGAAATCTATGGAGCAGGAAAACCTCTCAGTTAACTTTAGGGTCTTGATCAATGGACTTAGATGATCCAAATATGGATTCAGGATACTATGGTATTAAAAGAGAAGCTGATATATGGTTATGCATCGTATATTTTACAGCTTATTTACTTGAGACAAAGATGATACGTGCTCCTTTTTTGTGGTCACTGTTGCTAATTATCCTATAAAAAATGGCATATTTCCTGCTTCCTTAATGTATAAAAGAAACTATGTGGAGTGACAGGGAGCCAAGAACTGCAGGTCTGGCACAGGAGTATGATGTAGTAGGTTAGCACATCAGATGGCAACTGGTGATGTGCAGCCTCTTACCAGGAGTTTCTTGAGCTGCATAGAACTTCATAGAGTAAATATTTATCATATTGTCAGTGATACATTGAGGATGAGTTTGTGCTATGAATGGAAATGTTAAAAGAAAGCAAACACCTGTGTAACTTCATTTTAGGAGCAGGTTTTGGAGCACACAAGTTAGTCTCTGTGCATAGAATTAGAGTGATCTGCAAACAGGCACCAGTCATGATAGTAAAGAACTATTAAAATAACAATTGACTTTCACAGAAAATGCATCTGACATATTGTCAGAATTGGACAGAATAAACTGAGTCTTCTTTACCTTGCACAGAAGCATCGTGGCATTAACATGTCAAACCCTGCTAAAATGAAGCAGTGACTTTCAGCTAGTGATAGCTGAGCTTTGTGGAGGTCTTTGAGTGCGGTCACAGCAACTCTCATTTCAGTCAATAATTCTCTTCCCTGGATATCAAAACCAAAAAGAGAAAGGAGTGGCATATTCTCGAAACTAGATTTCTCTTTATATAAATTGAAAACAAATGAAAAGAGTATTTTTTAAAGATTTTTCTTAGATCATTATGCCTGTTGCTTAAGTTCTCTGTATTGTTAAATTAGTATTGCTGTTTTCTGTATTAAAAATTCCACTATTTAAGTAGAGGCACTTTAAGAGTTTTCATTACATTTTCATGTGAGAGATACTTTTTCCAAGGAATTCTTCTTAACAGTCCGTATATGTGAGGCCGTTTTCTTGCAAATGCATGTATCTGGGAACATGTTATATATGAAAAGAGAAAGTTCCTAACTAATTTAAAAGCTTCCACCCTTCTATTTTTAATGTCCCTAGTCATTAGAGTCCACTTTAGATTACAAAATTGTTTCCTTCCTATGACTTAGGAACTCAATTCATATTTTGTTTGTTTGGAAAGAGTAGGAAATCATTTTATCTTCATCATAATCTGTGTGCAATTAAGTGTTGCTGAGGTTGTTGTTCTGTGCTGTCTTTGCTTTCTTTTAGCTATTCCTAATTTAGAGTTGTAATCAAAGGGACAGATTAGTTTACTCTGGGTTTTGTATATGAATTTATGGGGTTACAGCAAAGATGAGTTGCTGGGGTTTTTTGCTGTAGTTGAGGCCCCATTGACAGCTGAGTTGTCAGGGTTAGTGGCAGCATCCTCAGCGTCCTGCTGAGCCGACTGTGCCTCTGCCTGCACCTGCCATGTGAGAGTGGACAGGGGTGAGCTGTGGTAGGAGATCTGGTGGCTGTAACAGAGGAACAATATACAAATGAGCTCTGGAAATATAATGGCTGTGGGGTCCCTGAGCAACTGTGGTAGCAGCTGTATGTCAAGGTGACATTTTGGAATTTGCAAGGGACGTCTCTGCCAATAGTGGTAATTTCATTCATTTCATTGAGTGCTTTTAGGTGTCAAGGACTTGAAAACTATGATCCAACTCATCAAGGAAAGTATAAGTATTTATAGGAGGATTACTTCATATCTGTTTGCTCAGGCCAAATGAACTGATACCTTAAGAGACACGAAAATAAAACCCAGGTTGTGTCTCTTGGCTTGCAGTAGACTGCTTGTGGGCTTTTAGGAAACAGCAAACATTGTGGCAAGTGCATCTACTCCTTCGAACTTCTAAGGTTTTGATTTGTATGTGCAAAGATTGCCAATTTAGGAAAACCCAATGTATCAATTGCTCACCATCCACCTATATATGTGACAGAAGTCATAATTAAAACTAGACATTTCTTTACCATAATTTTTTTTCTTCTAAAATCCCTGATTGCTCCTGCCCAGCCTTGTATTATATGTCTCCAAACTTAAGTTATTGTCTGACTCTTTGGATAGATTTCTTAGTAAAAAATTCATTATTTGACAACATTGTAAAAAGCCTTGTGTAAGTTTTACTGTAGTTTTTAGTGTTTTCTTTCTTCTACCTTTTACATAAAATTCAGTATTTCTAAAACCAAGAAGTCTTTCAATAAATTCACATTAATGACAACCTTTTTTTTCACTTAATTTTTCAGTCATCAGCTGATGTTCTAGTCGCTGTCCTACAGGTGTTTTTGTATTGCTGTAAATGCCGTACTTGTGTGATGAATGGTAAATGTGCATTCTGTTAATACACAATTCCGACACTATTCCATTTGGGATCACACTGGAATGAAGGCATTGATAATTTCCAAGTAAATGAGTGTGTGGAAATCAGACAGCTTATTTATTTTTAGGCATTTAAGTTGTCAGTTTTTGTGAATGTTTGTGTTCTCTCACATTCTTGCTGTCTAACGTTGAATTTCCAGGGACCATCATGTGTCTAGAACCATTTAACTTTGCCTGTGCGTATGAAATGTAACACTGTGGTGGTTTTGGTTGCATTTCAAAATACAAAATGTAGCACAATAACAGTCTTATGAGCAAACCGGGATCACTTCAGGTAGATGGAACAACATTCAGTGCTTAATTTTTAGCTGTCATTTACATTAGCTGTGTTTTGAAGTGCAAGAAAAACTGACAGTGTTTAGGTCTATCGTTGTATTTGTTTTTCCAGCTGTTGTAAAGTTTTTAAAAATATTGGCAATAGTTATCCTGGTACCTTCTTATTAGTAAAGCCACTATCTAGTAATGAAAACTATTTTCCTTATGTTTCTTCAAAATCTGTTCTTGTATATAGATCATCTACATGTATATAAATGTATGTGTATACAAAATCACATTCTTAGCAATGTCCTGGTCCAGAGGATAAATAAAGCCTAGGCTAGGTAGTGCTCTCTAGCTGTCTTCATGAATATGCCTGCTCTCTTGGAGATCTGATGCATAGTAAATGTCCTCTTGAAACAAAAATCCTAATGCTGAAATAAACTATCTTTTCTGTCTTGCCTAGATAAACAGTGATATTTTTTATACCTTTGGGCATTTCTCTGGTATAGAAAGCCTTCAATTCCATGTCTGCCCTTCTTGGAGCTCCTTTGTCTATGAGTGTCTAGGTTCTTTTTAGAGTGAAAGTTATAACAGTTTTTCTAATACTTCAACTGGAAATTTATTCACCTGTAACAGAAATGCAATTTTAGTGTTGTTTGTAAATGTGTGAAACTACTTGGAAGAAATCTCTTGTAGCCTATTTTACCTAATCATGGATAAATTTTATTTATTGGATAACTAGGTATAGGTTTTTTTAGTGCATATGTTGCTTTCATGAGAGACTGCAAACTTTGAAGGTGGATTGATTATATTAGAGCATGAGCACAGTTTGTGCAATAGGGTTTCAGAGGTCTGGTACACCTATCTGTTCTCTAGTAGTTTTTTTAATATTAATAGGAGTAATGTTTTTAGGTCTGTTGCTCTCTAAACCCATTCTTCCTATGCATATCTCCCAGAAATCACATTAAAATTCTATTACTGTCTGTAAATATCAATTTTTTTCTTCCCTTTGCCCACAGATATGCGTGATAAAATGAGGAAATGGAGGGAAGAAAACTACCGAAACAGTGAACAGATAGTGGATGTTGGAGAAGAGTTAATTAATGAATATGCATCTAAACTTGGAGATGACAGTGAGTAAACAACCATTATTTTTAAAATTCCCATTGTCTTATTTGATTATCTCTTTCTGGTCTCTATTTTATTTAACAGCCTTTTTGTCATCTTTCTGTATGTGATATTGATAAAATATATATTACTTTCTTAGTCTATTAGGCTGCAGTAATTCCAGAAGTTTATTTTTTTCCCAAATATGGGCTGCAGAGAAAACAGATGTAAAAATTACCTGATAGAACTGTTAGCTTGCTGTATTTGTAGTTGGACTGTTATATGAAAACTTTTGTTACTTAGCCATTATTTGACTGATTTTCTGTTCTTCAGCACTGTGGCAAAAATTGAAAAGTGGCTGTTCTGCAGGTCTGATCAGAGAGCAAGTCCTAACGGGGATCTGTTTAGAAGATTGAAATTATAGTGTTGGGAAAAATAGAGAATTAGAAGTTTTTTGCCTTTCAAGGTGTCAGAAGGTACTTTAGTACTAAAAGCACTAAATTGATTAAATATATTTTTAATTAATTCCAGCAGTTTCTTAATTTGTCCTTGTTTAAGCAGTGGTCCATGGGAGTAGAAGGGGAAAAATATACAGACAGAATTCATTAATCCTATTTATGTTATAGGTGTTTCCTTTTATCTTAAAAAAAAAAATTGTCTTCATTTATTGTCTCTTTTTTATCCAGTTTGGATAATTTATGAACAGGTGATGATTGCTGCCCTGGACTGCAGTCGAGATGATCTGGCAATGGTAAGTTTTCACACTGACTTTTCCTTCACACTGTATGTTTTTGTCCTGGGTATCTCTTCCAGATAGTTTTTTGGACATTCTGAACTCCATAGCTTGGACTGGTGGAAAGAATATCTATCAATAAATACACTTCTGGGAAGAAACCGCCACCACCTACCTTCTCTAATGTGTAACTTTTGTTTAGACAGATCACATCTCTTCCAATAGCCATGAAAATATTTACAGCTACTCTGGTATGGGCTAAATGTCAAGAATAATATTGAAGTTGCCATATTGTACAGAGACTGTTTGTTTATTAAAAACCTCTCAAATTATATTGGTTTTTTGAATGTTTTGAGGTAAAATGTCCACTCATACGTATCATATTATATGTTATGTTGGCTACCATCAAAGAAAGTCATTGACATGTTGGAGCAGATCTTCAAGATGAATAAGGAGCTGGACTGCATAATGTATAAGGAAGAGCTGAGATCTGAGTTTGTTAAGTCTTGAGAAAGCCAAGAAGGGATTTTATTGCTATCTTTGAATATGTACTAATGGGAAGGTATGAAAAAAGGTGGACACATGTTTCCGTAGATGTGAAAAAAGAGTGTGAGACATAAGCTGAAACACAGGAAATTCCAATTAGATGTTAGGAAAAACTTAGTGAACACTTTATGATAAAGGGCACAGAGAAGCTGTGGAATCTCTGTTGGAAATGCATAAAAATAGATTGGGATATGACCCTGCACTCCCTTGGAAACTGGCTCTGTTTTGAGTGAGATTTGGAGCAGTGAACTGCAAAGGATCCTTGCAATCCAAATTATTAAGTGATTGTTGATAAAAATATTAATGGATATTTGAGTTTTGTCAATTTGTATGCAAATTTATTTGAATGATACAAATAACAATTTAGATAAAATGAATTTATTTTGAACTGTAACACCTGTTCGTTAGATTAAAAATAAAAAAAAACACTGAATCAAAAAAAAAAACAAGTAAGCTTAGCTAATCCTTTAAAGGCATAAACAGGAAAAAGGAAAAGTGTGTTTTGCGGGAAAATTTTAATAATCTTTTTACCCCTCATTCACACAACAGTCAGAAGAAACCAGAGGCTTGTCTTGTGCCCTTAAAGGCATCAAGCTTGAGCTTATTCTAAGTAAAAAGACATTTTCAGGGCTCCAGATCTTTCACGGGGATTACTTCTCCAATGCCTTGTTCTCAGTCAGATGGCAAAATACCTCATAAAGTCTTTGAGCTTCGTGTCATGTCATTTGGGTGAAACTTAATGCAAGTGGTCAGACTAGAGGATGCAGTTGGGAGAAGGGCATTTTGAAAGTGCGCAGAACAAGTTTGTGTTGCATCCCAAATGTATGTGGTAAAATGGATTATGCTGGAAAATACAGCACAAGACTTCGAACTTGTCGTGAACCCACTGAGCTTCCGTCTCTTTTGTTCCTCAGAAGAAAATACTGCTGTAGTATAGCTGTCTGTTTAAACAAAAACAAATAGACTTACTGATTAAATAAATACATTTCTGTGTCCTGATTTATATGTAAAAGGGTTTTGGTCTTATTTTCAGGGTCTTTTAAAGGAGACTTTCACAAAGTTTTTGAAGGAGCCAGTGTTGAAAGATCAGTTGTGAAACACTTTGTTTTTACTAACCCTGACAGGGATTTTAAATTTCAGTTTCTGTGCCCTTTAAGGAATAATACTTGAGATGAGGGAATGCAACGTTTTATATGCAGCTCCGAAAGGAAGTTAAAAGCTTAGAGGGAAACCTTAGGCTTGATTCTCAGTTTTTAATTTGACTGATTTATAATAAAGAAGTAGTTAATTCAAACAAGTCAACATCATACGTGGTATTTTACTGCAGCTGTAGCTCCAAAGTAGACAAACAGCTCTGGAACTTCTGTTTTTTTCAGCAGTGAGCTCTTGACAGTTGTGATGCGTTTTGCTTAGGGGGAGTAGTCTCATCTACTCCAAATGAGAAGGCTGAGGTAGTTTTCAGTGGTTTATCTGACTTTTGTTTTTTTTTTTTCTTTCCTCGTTTTCTTTGTGCAGGTCCTTTCTGTCCTGCACAAACTGACTGTGTATGTAATGCATGTCCCTGCTTCAATCAGCCAGTTGTTTCACGCACGTTTTAGTGCAATCACCTTGGCAGCACTTGTACTACCAGTGTTTTACCTGCTGAAGTTCAGGTTTATATTTCTTTGTCAGACCTTTAAAATTAAAACCCGTGACTAAAAAGTCAGAATGCAAATTAAGTGCAAATTAAAGTTTTACATACAAATGACATTTGCCATTGTAACTGCTGAGTTTCTGAGAGAATCTCGAAAGTAGATTATTGACATGGTGCAGAACCAGTCCTCAATAACATAAATGATTATGGGGATTACAAGTTAAGTTTAAAAAGAGGATATTCAGTGCTGCTGAGTCCAGAACATTTTGAAGATATAGCTAGTGTAGTTAATTCAAGCCCTTTTTGTTTTGTGGTACAGTGAGTTGTGAGACCCCTGGTGGCCTAGTGGTTAGCGTGCAGGACTTTCACTGCTGTGACCACGGGTTCGAGTCCCCGGTCTCCTGGCCTGATGGAGGTCGTTAGCCCTGTAAGGCCATCCATCTATGAGAAGGACACTCTAAACAAACCTACGTCCTGAGGACCTCACTGCCATTGTCCAAGCTTGCTTGGCCCCGGCAGATGAACCTTAGGATTAAAGGGTGGGCTCAGTTCAGCGCAGGCTGTGTCTCACCTAAAAAATCCATTGCGCAGGCTGGAAAGGTAAAAAGACCTTTCCCCAAATCTTCGTTCGCGAAGATGGGCCATTATTATTATTATTATACAGTGAGTTGTTCATGACTTTCTCACAACTTTTCCTGTGACTTTATTGTGTCTGGTAGTGTAATCCATGAGAGTTTATTTTGGCCTTTTGGCTGCTGTGTTTGTTTGGGTAGTGATTGTGTAGTCAGATCTAATATATGACTCCTGCACTTGAACTGCAGTTCTTTCATATTGTCAGTGAGATTTTTTTAAATGTAAATGCCCATCTGCAGATTTTGGAGTTCAGTATTATTGTAATGTTACATTTATTGTAAATGTTACAATTTTTGTTATTTGAACATTTTATTGGAGAAGAGTAGTAGGTGTTTTTATATTAAAAATCACCATCCTTCAGGATTCCCTGATCACTGGACCACAGGTGGATTTATTGTCCACAAAAGTTCTTTTTAAAGCCTATAATGTTGTTTGGGTTTTAAAAGCTGAAGTGAAACTACTTTTCTGGAGTTTCATGTAAATTGTCCTGTCTCTTAAGATCGTTCACTGATTAGTTCAGACATCATATAACATGGTGCTAAGTACATGTAATTTTTTATGACTAGAGCAGCAGCAGTTCACCTAGAGCTCACTCAAAGTGCCAGTAAACCATTTCTGTATTAAACCTTAGCCTTTCTATGTGAAATTGCATTGTTAAGATCTTGGTCCATTGCAAACTAAGTTGATTGTGATAAAAATAGTCTATGCTTACTTGAGGCTAAGCATTACTACTTTGGTTACTGTTTCCTTTCTTTCATCCTTCTTTGTTTTTTAGCATCTGGGAGAGATGTAAATATTCGTCTTGGATGTACTCTAGCAACCTGTTTACAAAAACAAACTGTTACTTCTGTACTTTTTCCTTTGACCAGTGGATGTGATGAGATGGAAGAGATTATGTCGATAGGCCTCTGCTAGAACCTTAGCTCTGAAGAACAAGTTTCAAAGCTGAGTTGTAGAAATAAGTGTCTAGAAGAGGAGGATTCAGTGTGAAGGTTTTAATGTGATTCAAACCACTGGTCTGTTTGAGAGCCTGTGGACTGTTCTGCCTCCCACCATAATGGGTCAGCTACAAACTTTGCAATGCTGTCTAGCCACCTTCATGATACGGTTACGAGTTAGTTTTGCTCTGGGGAAGTTATGACTCAGTCCCTCTACCAAACATCCTTTTTCACTAATCCAGAGAAATCTTCCTGTGATGAATTCTTTTTATCCATCCCAGGTGTCTCATTGATTTCAGGAGTTAAAACCTATGCCTCTTCTTCCAGCAGGCTGTACCCAAGCCAGTGACAAACATTTTCTTTGGATTTCAAAGTTTTATTTTAAAAATAAACACAGAGCTTTGTATTAGCATAGTTTGTTCCATTGTGAGATATCCATTTATTAAAGAAGTATCACATAAGCTCTTACTGTCTTTATTTTGTTTTTTTACTGTCTTGTGTTATTATGCAGCAACTGAGAAGACTTTAAGTTTTAATAGTATCAGGGCTGTTTTAATAGGTGAGTTTCATTTTCTAGGCAAATAACTATTTCCGAGGAGACCTCACAATCTAATGACCTGTATGGAAGATATTTCTTAAAACCAGTCTTCTATCAGAGTTTCTGTTTCTGACCTTCTCTTTATCAATGCATTGCTTATATCAAAACTTGGTATTTACTTTTACTCAAAACTGCCATTCCAGGTTGTTGAATTATCAGCCAAGGCCTTTTTTTTTAATTTATTTTTTTTTCTTTTGTTGTCTTGTTTTAGCTTCTGTGTAGATGTTTGTATTCACAATAGTATTTTTGGTTCTTTGTTTAGTTTTGTCTTCAGGAACTAAGGCGGCAGTTTCCTGGGAGCCACAGAGTTAAACGATTAACTGGAATGCGATTTGAAGCTATGGAAAGGTAAAACCTGATTTTTAAAAAATGTACTTTCTGTCTGGAAAAGTGTTTGCTCTTTCTTAAAAAAACATTCAGGCAAAACATGAAGTCATGGCAAAGTCACAGCAAAACAATGCTGGGCAGTTTCTTTATAGGAAATAACAGTGGTGCCATGATCACATTATAATTTTTAGACATCTCTGTTACATTTTTGCAGGTCCTGTGCAGTGTTTCATTTTTGCAATCTTCCTATCAGATTTCCTAGACCAGAAAGATCTCTTACTTGACAGCGTAAGTCCTTATACGGTAAAACACTGCACACTTTTTTGGCAAATTCTGTGAGGTATATGTTTCATCTCATAGAGCTAGAGAAGTGCCATCATTTTTTCGCCTTAATTGTTCTTCTGTGCTCCTCGTTACTGCAGGGTGCAGCTCTTTGCCCTTGTTTTCTGAGTGTGGGTAAATGAACTTAATAAGGATTAAATCTATGGAGTTTTTTACAGAAACAACTCAAAAAACACATGGGGTAGAATGGCAGAACCTAAATATCAGACTAATGGCCAGTCTTCGCGAACAAAGATTTGGGGAAAGGTCTTTTACCTTTCCAGCCTGCGCAATGGATTTTTTAGGTGAGACACAGCCTGCGCTGAACTGAGCCCACCCTTTAATCCCAAGGTTCATCTGCCGGGGCCAAGCGAGCTTGGACAATGGCAGTGAGGTCCTCAGGACGTAGGTTTGTTTAGAGTGACCTTCTCATAGATGGATGGCCTCACAGGGCTGACGAGCTCCATCTGCCCGGGGGACTGGGAATCGAACCTGGGTCGCAGCAGTGAGAGTCCTGCATGCTAACCACTAGGCCACCAGGGGTCCAAATATCAGACTGACCTTTTTGAAATATCCTGTAGAATGGTTATAACATACGAAGTTTAAAAGGAATTACTAAAATAGTGAACAGCTTAAAACTTTTCATCTTTCCAAGATGAATGACCTCAAGGCTTTAGGATGACCTTTATTGTCCACCTTTCTCCTTGGTTACATAATTGATATCAACATTCTGTTCTGAAGCCCTTGTCTTGGGTGTTGAGAAGGCCTTCCAGCTTTCAGTGCCTTTGAATACTGGCAGATCTGTTCTGTGCCCCATTTTGCACACAGTTGGTGAGGTTTGGAGCCTTTGGGCCGTCTTGATACAAAGGAGTTGGAAGTACACCCTAAATGCGTTTTTAAAATATATTTATTTAGCAAGTGTTTTTCTTCCGTTACATTCTTGCAAAATTAACTTTGAAAATGGTATTTGATATGAGCCACCAGTGATTGTCCACTGCATGAATCAAAAAAGAAGGAATAACTGGACTCCATCCACAGGAGCCATCTCAAGGTGACTAGATATTCCAGGTTTCACACTTGCTTTATATTAAATGTGTATTCTTGAAGAATTTCCATTAATCTTAACTCTCTTGTCTTCATTTTATATAGGATAGGAAGACAGTGAGAGAATGGCAGCAGATTTCCCCCCCTCCTGAAACCTATTTAGAAGTACAATAGATTATAATTCAGTTCAGGCTTATGTGACTGCATTGAAGACGTTATTGCATGGGAACATATCTTTGTGGGAGATGACTGCCGCACAAACATTATGTGTGGTTTCAGTAGTGAAGTGCTATTGAACTGCAGTTTTTTGAAAGTGCTCATCAAATTACTTGACAAAAGATCTCTGTCAGGACAGATCCTTGAGATTGGAGTATCAGGGAGCAGAGGCATTAACAAAAGCTGAGGTTTCATCTTCCTAGATTTTCTCTAGAAGTCAAAGACAGAGGTTTCAGCTTTGGGTTGTCTTGAGCAGGAATCCATCTGCAGATGCTCTAAGCCATGCCCTGGAGAAGCCTGTCTGTCTCCACTGACTATAAAAGAAGTCTAGGAAAACTTAGGTCATATTTTCAATTGAAGAAGGGAACTTCTTGTTAAATTCTAAGTGACTTGTAGGATCTAAGAAGGGTCCTGCTTTCCCCAACAGGAAGAGGAAACCGTGAAGAACATCCCCATAGACTGAGACATCCTTGTAGACACTTGCTAATCAAAATAATAATATCCTGGAACTTCACCATGTAAAGCTGGGATTATGGCCACCATGTTCAGTCTTCTAAAATGCATTTGATAAGGTAGCAACTAACAGAGAACACAAATACAGCATTTTACAGCACATCTGCTAAAGTCTGTAGCAGTCACCTTCTGCTCGTTTCTGCTTTTGTGCTTCCTTTCACATTTCCTCTCATACCTTATGGTAACTGGACTGGACAGCTGAGCTGTGCTTATGTCAGCAGTGCCTACAGAACAGTGAGAGTATGTAAATGAGTGTCTGAGGTGAGAAGGAATGTGTATCCTCAAAAATCAATCAGCAGTACCACTGAAAAACAACTTGTCAAACTATACCTGAGGACACAATGTATGCTCTGGTTCTGTGGTGATAGCACAACAGCTGTGTAGTCAAAGGTGTTTTGAATTGAATTATTTCATTTGTCAAGTTTTGGTCATGTACACTGCTGACTGAACACACAGATCTTTTTCCCAGGAGGTTTGAAGTGCTCACAGAGCCTGAAGTAACCTGTTTTGAGCATACTTCAAATAGCAGAATTAATTAATTAAAAAAATATATAAAAAATTATGGTGGAAAACATTTTCTTTCAAGACTTATGTTATATTCTGGGGTAGATTCTTCTGTGAATCTTTTCAGTTTGATGTATGCAGCTGCTTTTACTTTTTAAAAGTCACAACAGAAGAAACTTACATGAAGTTTTAAATTATAACAGTGAAATGAAATGTCATTATTTTGGATGGCCTTTCAAATTTTGGAGTTTCTGTTTCTTGGGAGATGTGAAAGGGAGAGTAGGGATGTGATGGTTGGATCTGTTGGGTATAGAAGAAGAGAGGTCAGGAGAGTAAGATATTGGATATAAAATATCTAAGTTGCTGCTGAAACAGTATTCCATAAAATAATTACCATGTGGTTTTTTTAACTTGGCGACATAAAATACTGCTGTTGATATTTAGCACTCACTCAAAAGATTTTTTTATAAATATAGTTTGTTTAGTATATGTGTATTATATTTCAGTATAAGAAGTGCAGGTGGGTTATTAACTATTGCAAGGACAGTCAAAAAGTCAGGAATTCTGTCTTAGCAGAAATAAATGCAAATAATTTCTTTGAACAGGTATGATGACGCTATCCAGTTATATGATAGAATTTTACAAGAAGATTCAACTAATACAGTAAGTTTAAAAGATAATTCTAAACTGAAATGTTTTGTTGTTTGAAATTGTAACTATTTTCTATGTCTCACTATGGAAAAACGTGTGTCTGTATTACTGTGTTTGTTTCCTTTAGTTTCCTAGTATAATAACCTATGTTACCTTCATTTTATTGTATTCCTAATGCTTTATCTTACTTTAAGATTAACTGTGAATACACTCAGGTAGTGCTTAAATAGCACCTATTTTGATTTATTGTCTGGGACACTTTACTAGCTCTTGAATCAAAATGTATAAAGCATGCCAATCGTATAGAACAAAATGTGAGACAGACTGTACTGTTCTTTTAAGCATTTTTCGAATACTGGTTGTGGAAGCCACAGTGAGCTATTAGATGCCAAAATAAAAGTCTAGAGAAACTTGTTGCAGTATATTTTCATGCGTTTTTTTCACATAAGGATAAAAAATAGAAATATGAAGAAACAATGGAGTTTCAAAATTTTATATGACATGTTGGAAAGTATTGAGGGTACATGTTTGTGTTACTTGGTTTTGAGGAACTGTTTATTGGGTAAACTTCTGTGTAAATGTAATACTTGGGCTATTGCAGATGTTTTGGCAGTCTCAGGTAGACTTTCCTAGGTGTGTGTTGAACCTCTCCCTTTCTTTGGTCAGCTTATATGATGGGCTGTGCTATTCAGGCAGGGAAAACCCACAGAAACACAGATAACTGGGATTAACTAGGGTATGCCAGAGCTGGATGTAGATCAAGTGCCATCAGTTAAAGTAAGTAAACCATTAAAAAATCCACAAAACAAATTAAAAAACAAGCAGCAACAATAAAAAACACCCCAAACCACTGGAAAGTTACTTTCAAGGCAACACATCTGAAAACCTTAGTACCAAGTTAAGCACTCGGACAATAGGTAAGTTTAAGTCTGTCTGTTAGCAGTGATAGACCTGAGACACTTTGTGCAAGAGTAAAAAGAACTATTTCAGTTCTTCATTCTTATTTTTCACTCTCCCTGGAGAAGTAGAAGTTGGAGCTCAAGAAGTTTTGAGCCCAAGACATGTATCTGTCCACAGTAAATGGTGGATTTTGTTGAGTGTATGGCCCGAAGAGTTTCAGAGACACTAAGTCGTAAGAGCCATGTATGGAACCTTTTACAGTGAAGTCAGAAGAACAGGTCACCAAGGTGCATTTTATGACCTTTTGCTGATGCCAGTGGAAAACGGAGCACCATATTACAATGACTTCTCTGGACCACAGATCTTTGAAGTGTGCCTTTCTGGCAATTTTACTCTTCAGCTGTTGCAACATAGCTATCGTCATCTGAGTGGTTTGTTGGATGTTTTTATAAAACAAAATGATACATTTAAATAAGTAGAATGCAAGATTATTACCTAATTTGGATTTTCTCTGTAACAAAATCATAAAGATCCATAAAGTTGTAATATTTAGAAGCAGAAGTTGTAAATATTAGAACAGTTGCATGGTTGGATTTCTTAAGATCTGAGAATAGAATTGGAGAGTGTCAAATGCAAAGTGGAAGTTCTTTGCTGTATAGCTGTAGAATAGGTTGGGTAAGCCTTACATGTGAAGAATGAAGGGTAAGTAGAAAGTTTTGATAAATTGTCATGTGCAGATTTCTGTGTGTCTTTTACCTGTTAATTATTTCCATGAAGACATGTGGCTGCTGTAGAAGATAAATATTTCAAGATTTTAAAAAAGCAACTGTTGCTGAGTTTGCCTTGACACTCACCTTACCTTATAGACATTTCTTCTGGTCTTCTGACACATGGAGTTGCTCATATACATTAGACATTTTGGCAAGTCCTTGAAGTGAAACATAGACATTTGTTCACATGAATCATGTAAACATCATACCTTGTGTTGACTGATCAAATAGAAGCATGGGAAAAGCTTTTCCAAAAAATTATTTCTCTTAGACACATAGCAGTCTTTTCCAGTATGAAAAGTGAACTTTGAACTCAAATTATGTAAATGGACATTTACACTTCTGGATGAGGTTTTGTTGCTTGCCAAACGCTGAAATTAAGATAACAGTAATTATTTAATTTCATGCCTTATGATAGAACTCAAAATGGTCTTTGTTTTTAAAATATCATCTCTCAATGTTTTATCTCACTCTGAGCTTACTTGCTGAAAAAGATGACTCATTTGACAATGGAGCAATGTTAATGTCACTTCAGAGATTTTGTTTTATTTTTCAAAGCATGTAGACTTTGAGTAATGATCTCTCTCTTCTAAAGACTAACATTAAGGAATGAAATGTGACTCCTTTGAACTGCACAACTTGCATACATTTCAATAGCACGAGATTTGGAACCTTTTCCATTTTTGTCCATTTTGTTAAAATGAAGGCATATTAGAGCTCAGGCTGGCAGATTACTCTGTTATGAAGGCTGCATAATATTTTCTATTGCAGGGCCTTTTTTATTAAGATTTCATGTAGTATCCAATTGAAAATCTTTATATTGATGCTGTATAGTGACTAAATTGTTTGTAGATCTTCAGATAAAATGCTTATTCTGTTTCTGAACAACAAAAAGAGGGTCGTTTTTTTAGTAGTGTTGGTATAAGGACTTTTTTGTTTGTTTTTACTGTTAATGTATTTCATTGAGAAATCCTTGTTCTGCTCTGCTTTAGAGAAAAGACTTTTAGTTAGGCAGCAGTTGGGCCCTTCTTGAGGTAGCCTGTCCAGGAGTGCAAAGAAGATTCTTGATGAGAACAGAAATTGAGTTCATGTGTCAAGACTTAAACTGGTGTCTGTCCCACTCCACTGTCATCCTGCTGCATCTGCAGTTTCTCCTGATTGTTCAGCTCAGCTATCAAGACAATTGCAGAGCATTTGGTCAACACCAGGGGAAAGTGAGATAAGACACACAGTTCTGCCTTAATTCTAATCCACAGAAAATCTGATGTCTCCATCAGGATAATTCCTCTGCTGTTTTTCTTGCCACTTTTTCAACTAAGCTTTTAATACAAGATGACACTCTGTATGCTTGCTTAGCTGAGGGCTTATGAATAATCTCATTAACTTCATAGGTTTAGTAATGAAATTGTGTGAACAAAGAATTAAAAGTTAAAATTTTCGTAATAAGATGGTGTTCTGAGTGAAGGTGGTATCTTCCAGTGTTTATAAAATAATTCACTAACAGCTCTGGGAGTGGACAGGAACAAGTGTATGCATATGGTCACATGAAATTACACTTTCCCGTACTATTGAGAGATTCTTTTTGTAGACAAGCTGTAGAAAGACATCTTTCAGAAGAGGCACAGGAGGTGATTGAAGACCTATGGGGATACAGAATACTGGAAAGATTCAGAGCAAAATCTTAGTCCTTAGTATCATGTAAATAGTCAGCAATATATTTCATGAACATCCAGGTTTATTTCTTTCTGTGATTGTGCATTACCACCACTGACTATATAGGTAACTTTTTTCCCCTCAGCTCCTTGTCTCTAGTAAATAAGATTAGAATAATGACCACTAAGTTTGAGCATTGGATATCTGTTTGTTACCTGAACTGTGATAATTCCTTAAAATTGCTGGAGTAGCTGTGCATTCATTTTGAACAGAGACATCCTGTGACGATCTTGCAGCTTTGTACATTGACCTGTGGGATGCTCTAAGTTGCAAAGAGGAAAATTGTTCACCAAATGAAATATCTGCTAATAGAGGGGATTTTCTGAGGTGATGTGTATGTTTCATTAAGTATATTGGCAGCACTGCCAGGAAAGACACAACTAGTCCTAAACCTAAATGTGTATGGTGGTAGTTTTAAAGGGGGTCAAAGAGCTCGGCACTATGTCTGATACAGGATAGAGTTGGTGAGAGATGTGAAGAACTGCAGCTGCCCCTTTGGTTAGTTCCCAGTGAGAACTGATGGTTAAGCTGTGAATGCACTATGTGGTTTCTAAAGAAGTGTGTTTTGCTTTTGACAGAGCATCACTTATGTTTGCAGGGTTTTTTTTTCTTCTTCTTCAGTCATGATCGGTGAAGTGAGAGAGCAGAGTGCATTCCACCATTTTTCCCATGTTTGGAGTCTCTTTTAAATGCTGATGGAGATTTTGTCCCTTGAAATTAAGTATTTGAGAACATAAGAACAGCTGTCCTTGAGTCATGGCAAAAGTCCATATTAGTTGTCCTGTGCCTGACAGTGACCAATAGCAGATACCAGAAGAGTATAAGACAGGGCAATCACAGTATGCTCTGGTCTGTTCTACCAGTTTCTATTCATGTTGCAATTTTCCTTGCCAGAAGTGCCAACTCTGTTTTTAATAGCTCTTCATGAAATTTCTACATAGATTTATTTTTAAACTTGTGAAAGTTTGCTGGCCTGTGTCTACAACATCATTGAGAAATTAAATTTTGTAATTTATTAATTAATGCTCTACATTCATTTGTTACTGTTGACAGTTGTTTTCTGCTCACTTTATTAATGCTCATGACTTTAGAGAGGTTTTACTCTTTTCTTCCCTGTAAGCTTAAGAAGTCCTAATGTCCATCATTTCTTGTTTCCATTCTGTGCCTTGAAAACCTGTTGCTGTTCCAAGTGTCATTTCTGGGTTTTTTTCCCTATATTTGGGTGAGAGATAAGAGGACAGAACAGCAGTCAGTATTAAAAAATACAAGAGTATTAAGGAGTTACAAGTAACAAAATGGTGCCAGTGATTTGTTCTCTTCTATATTCTTTTCTGATAATTCCAGTATCACAGTATTTTCAGTTTGGAGTTTTGGGGCAGGGTTTTTGGATGTTTTTAAGATATGTTCTGAACATTGAACTGATATTTTATAGAACTGTTTGTTGCAACTCCAGCATCTCCCTCCTAATTTGTCCCTGGACAAATTCAGACAGCTTTTCTGTGTATGTTAAATTAGTATTGTTTTATCCTATATGTAACCCTTTATCAATATTAAATTTCAGATGCTGTTTTATCATGCTGATATTCATTATTCTGAATGCTATTCTTTGCTGTTGGCTTTTGTTCTTTA